ATATATACAGGGTGCATGTCAATTGCAAAACTTCCCACCCTTAATATCTCCCTTCAAGTGAATAATATGCAAAAACGAGAAGGCAGGTCAATTTTAATTTCTTGGGGGACACTTTGAATGAATATTTTTGAAGATCATGGGTCAATCCCCTAGGAGGGGTAGATGTCACCCTTAAAATATAAATAGGGAAGAGGGGTCAAGTGGCACATCATTTTGAAAGGCGTTCAATTATCTTTTCAACGGAACCTTATTTTACCATTTTTTGATGAGCAGTTTCTGAAAAATACCGTTCTAAACTCACAGAAGTGATTAAAACTCATTGCCTCCACTAAGATGCATTGTTTCCAGGACAAAAAATATTTTTTTGAATCTCTCATTGATGAAAATGGTTGGGAGGTTAGGTGGCATCGTTACAACAGGAATAAATTTAGTCTATACGTTTGATTTTTTGTTTATTGGTTATATTACTTCAAAAAAACTTTCAAGGTGCGAGATAGGAATTACAAACATCTATTCTCGCACTATCTTACTAAGTGTTCGAAATGTTGTCCATTTTGTTCTAAACAGTAATAAAGTCTGTTTTTGAACTCCTCTCTAACATCTTGAAAAACTTCACCACGAATTGAGCGCCATGCTGCTGTAATTCGTTCTTCGAGGTCATCAATATCCGTCGGTTGTGTTTTATAAATAACGGATGTGAGATGTCCCCAAAGGAAAAAATCTAAAGGAGTCAAGTCCGGTGATCTCGGAGGCCACTCATTTGCTCCCCTTCTGCCAATCAATCTATCCGGGAATCTATCATTCAACCACTGTCGGACGGACGGGAAGGAAATAATGAGGTGGAGCACCGTCCTGCTGGAAATGTAACAGATCCTCCTGCAAAAGTAAATTACCGTCTGCATCGATCTGATTTTCTAGCTCGTTAGTTATGAGAGGATCGATAGTATCTTCAAGCATATTTAGGTACAGATTGCTAGTCAAGTTTTCTTCAATAAATAAAGGCACAACAAAGGCATTTCCAAGAATACCAGCCCAAACATTAATATTTCCTGGTTGTTGTGTATGTCCTTTTCCAAAAATGTGAGGGTTTTCGTCACTCCAATAGCGACAATTTTGTCTATCAACATTTTTCCATTCAGAGAAAATGAGCATTCATCGCTGAAACAGATATTTAGCAATAAATTTGGGATGGCATTGCCTAGATATGACACCGTTTCACAAAATTATATTCTACTATCATAATCATCCTCATGAAGCTCTTGGAGAATTTGCATCTTATATGGATGAAATTCATGTAATTTCAGTGTTATTCTTACTGTCTCGTGTGACATTCCCGTCTGTTCTGCCACTGATCGTGAGGAGCTAGTAGGCTCTGAATCAAATGTTTCCAAAACTTCAATTTGAGCTTCCTCATTCAGTACTCTAGGATTATTCCTTTTTTTTTGTTTTTCACAGAACCAGTTTAGTTAAACTTTACCACCAAATCGAGCACATACCGGTGACTTACATTACAATTTGAATTTTTTTTCATTTAAAAGGAATGCCGCCCTTCGTGCGCACTTTCCAGCCTCCCCATAAATCACAATCATTTCAGTTATTTTTGAAAGAGTGTAAACCATTTCCACAATTTATACTCTGAATGAAGGTATTGCTGAACAGCTCAACAACTAAAACTCAATCAATAATACTTCCAAATCGTTTTAAAATTGCTGAACAATTTTTTGCTCAAAAAAACGGAGTTTTTATTTCAAATCAGCAGTAGCAACAGAGGAAGGCCATCTGTAGAATTGAAAATCCAATCACGAACGCAAATAAGCTACCATCGAAATGTCACTATTAGATTACTTATTGATGTTGATTCATTGGGGCTAATGGCTAATAATGTTGCCCTTGTTGAGAAGATAGAAGGTTGTTACCTAATTTTCTGACCAGTTTCACTGAAAGGAGAGTCAA